GGAGGGATGGACGGGAGAGAGAAGAAGAGAGGAAGAGAGGAAGGGGAGGAGACAGAGGGAGAGATGGAGGGAAGGGAGGTGAGAAAGAGAGAGAGGGCGGGAGGGAAACAGGGAGGGTGCACTTCGCCGCGTATTTCCTTTTTGGGCCGAGTCTGACTGGCACTGTGCACATCTTCAGGCACAACACCACAGGCACAGAGAGAGAGAGAGAGAGAGAGAGAGAGAGAGAGAGAGAGAGAGAGAGAGAGAGAGAGAGAGAGAGAGAGAGAGAGAGTGCACCCCATCAGGCCCGTTTGCACGCAGCTCGACTCTGCTTCGCCTGCCTATTCCTGTCCGGGCAGCGGCGGACAGAACGGAAAACCCCGACGGCGCGGCCCCGAGAAAACAAATGCGCGCCCGAAAACCCAATGTGCCCAGCTCAGTTGGCGCCCTTTTGTGCATAAAAGTCAATCCTCCTCCACTCAGCGTCATGCCCTTCATTGGCCCCACTCATCATACCCATCATTATCACCATGGTGTTCTTGATCGGTCTGCTGATAGCTTTCGTTGTTCATGTCGTAAGTCAAGCAAGTGCGTAAGGTTTTGTGCAAATGAATCGTAAGAAAAAACAATAACGAAAGCGAAAAAACAGTAATGAAGATGCACCCCGAGCCCACGCCCGAATCGTAAGAAAAGACGGCGAAGAGCTAGGGGAATAGATGAGGGAGCGGGGGAACTGGACTACGGTAGTGGGAGCAGAGAAGAGGGAGCCCTCCGTCCTTGTCTTCCTTCCCCTCTTTTGCGGCGGGTACGTGCGCAGCGTGAGATCTCGAACTTCGCTTTTTACATCGCTGGGCACGCACCCGCCGTCGCTTCCGCTTCTTCTTTCTTCCGAATGGAATGGAAAGAAGGGAAAGGAGAAGAAGAAAGAAAGGATTCGTGCAAATATGTGGAGAGAACAAGGGGAAAACCGAAAAAACAGCAGCCTTTGAAGGGGGGGGGAAAAAAAAAAAAAAAAAAAAAAACCACCAGCTACCTAGGATGCACCCCAAGCCAACGCCCGAATCGTGAGAAAAGACGGCAAAAAGATAGGGGATGGATGGGGAAACTGGACATGGAGCAGAAAAGAGGGAAAGAAGAGGACGAAGGGCGGAGGGGGGAGAGGAAGGAGGAAGAGCAGCAACATTAGGGAGTAGGATAAAAGGACGGGGACATAGAAGAGGAAGGAGGGCAAGGAAGGGGGCGGACGAACTCGCCTTGCAACACCGAGACGGCCGGTCCGATATCTCCCTGCCCCCTGCGCTGTTCCTTGCAATATCACACGTCGCCGTGCAGAGATGGGGCAGCAAGGTGCGGCAGGAGGGAAGGGCAGGGTCCCGGTCTAGGAGGGTTGGAGGACGAAGCGGATGCCGGTATAGACCAAACCGCGCCGCATCCACGTGCCGCACTAGTCCCAGCAAGGATGCCACAAGTCTCTCCTTTCCCCCCAGACCAGGTAGTCTGGGTAGCGGCGGAAAGGGGTACCGGTAGTGGCAGCAACCGGCTGGGCCCTTTTTCCGAACCGTGTTCGTTCGCAGCCAGGAATAACGCCCGGGCGTTAAACACGATACACGAATATAACGCAAGGTGAGCATTATATTCGTTTATAACGCCCTCACTCTATTCGCTAAATTGGTGGCAACTTTGATGGGGCACACAAATCCAAAATTTAGAAAGCCGTGGTGGGGTTGGTTATGGGGAGCGCTGGTACCGGGCGGGTAGCGGTAGCGCTCCGGTAACTGCGTCGCGACGCGTTTCACCACGCGCAGCGCTGTTCACCCGTGAAACTCGCCGTCACGACGAGAGGCGGGGTGGAGGCCATGCCTCAAATCACCTCTCCTTCCCGAACAGTCCACAGCGATGGTAGGGTAGGAGGTAGCCATAGCAAAGCGCTCTTTGGAGGAGTACGACGGAGCCATAAGTATCTAATGGTAGAAAACGGAATGAGTTAAAAAAAGCTCGACCTAAAATCACGGAGATAGAATTGTTTACCATGGTTAAACGCACGGCACAAGTGACGATCTAGTCGTAAGAGGAACACTGTTCATGTTATTACGACAATATGTAAGCCACGTTCATGGAGAGATCTACATTAGGTACAACCTGTTACGCGCGCTCTTGCGCTGTCAATTTCTGAGAAGTGGATAAGCGGACATCGTCGGTAACTTCTACCGATCCCGCGAACCCCTCACGAGTTACAAGGAGATAGTTTAATGCAAATACCTGACGAGTAGTAGCGGTTACAATACGCTAACCTGGCGGATTTTGATCCGTCCCCGTCGAAAATCGATCCTTCCCAGGGTGCAGCTAGGGTCGGGTCGTCAGCTATTGGCGGAAACACAGAACAGCCAAGTACTCGACAGTGTCAATAGAGGTTCGGGTCGTTGTACATTGCCGTTCGGATTGCCAGGTTGAGAGATGTCACCTCCTGGGCCTCGGACCGAACTCCCGGCGGGGAGCTACGGGAGGGGGCAATGAGACGGCTGCCGCGATAGTATCACCTACGCCACCGAGTGCATAGACAACAGCTCGTCCAGCTGGCGGATCGAAGCGGAGACACATCACGAGTAGTCCCAGACTCAAGTACGTCATCCGGCTTCTCGATCTCCCTCCATCCCTCCTCAGTTCCCAAGTTACCCTTGGCCGAAGCGGTTGTACGAGCAGTGGATAATACGCTCCTCCTTTCTCCTTGAGAGTTTAACACTGCCCTGTCGGCTTTGATAGATGCCGGAAGTTGAGGAGGGAGCAATCAAGCTCCGAAAGGACGGTGTAGATTATCGCGAAGAGGGGTATATCAAGTCGAGTTAGAACGCCTGAACCAAAGCTAGAAACAGTGTCCGCACCTATCTTCACTCTAAAAGAACGGACTTGGAACTATAGGAGCAAGGAGCAAGGAGCGAGGTAACTCATCTCAGCTGCGCAGTAAAGCAGTCAGGAAAGATACGCAGGGCAGATCCACCCGGAAGATGGAGAGAGTCGTGCGACCAGAGAACCCACCCAGTACAAGCAGATACATCCCACCAAGTCGTCGAGCTTCAGGGCAGCAACAAGGAGGCAATGAGGGAGGCGCAGCCCCGAGCGCATCAGGAAGGCAGGTGCAAACGATACGGCCAAGGCAACAACGAGGGACGGATGAACGAGTCCGAGAGTTAGTGGAGAGATGCTACGACGAGGGCATCTGCCCGGATGGTCTGGAATTGGGAGAGGTGGTGGAAGATGAGGAAGGGAAAAGGTTTGTAGTGTATGAGGCAGTGGATAATATTAAGGAAAGGTGGTTGAAAGAGAGAACAATAATTCTGATTTTTCAAGAGGAAGCAAGGAACCTCTCAAGACAAGTCAAAGAGGATCTGATCATGGCATACGAAGATGGATGGATGGCTCAGTGTGTGTTCAATCCGGACACAGGGAGGGGCAGAATTAGATTCGAGGGTCAAAATGTGGTATCCTACGTGGCCTGTCTCTTATACACATCTAGATGTGTATAAGAGACAGGTATGAGGCAGTGGATAATATTAAGGAAAGGTGGTTGAAAGAGAGAACAATAATTCTGATTTTTCAAGAGGAAGCAAGGAACCTCTCAAGACAAGTCAAAGAGGATCTGATCATGGCATACGAAGATGGATGGATGGCTCAGTGTGTGTTCAATCCGGACACAGGGAGGGGCAGAATTAGATTCGAGGGTCAAAATGTGGTATCCTACGTGGCCAAGGCAAAGGAAGTAGCAGTTTGGATGTTGAAAAAGAAGGAAGCGAGGCTGAAGTTGGGATCGAAAGAAGATTTAACGATTTTCAAACCTTGGATTCCACGCCATGAACTGCGACACATAAGACGGCAGGAAGCAGAGACCAAGTTCTGGATCGTCGCCTTGAGGGTTCAACTCGATGCCTACTACTATTTAGGCGAAGCAGTCAGGGGCATGTTCAAAGAAATCTTGGAGATGCATCCCCTCGAATATGACATAACGCGCCCAAAGCTGATGAATGTCAAATTGGACATGCATCCGGACGCAAGATTTAACGTTGACGACGTCCTTGTGATTGAGTCTCCTAAAGGCGAAAGATGGAAAGTGGAAATTGCCACCCCCTACACCGACTGGTGTAGGAAATGTAAGTGGTATTTCCACACAGAAGAGAACTGCCCAAGATCACGGCAAAATGAAGAAGAGAGAAGGGAAGGAGGTGCTCGAGCGGGAGGACACAAGGAATGTTTTTTCCAGCACACCATGAACAAGGACCAACAAGCAAGACGTGAAGAGGAACCAGGCAACGCTCAGAGTCTCGGACAGGACGAGGCCTCAAGGGCAATGGAGGGGAATAGGCCTGTCAGAGGTGAAGGACATAGTACCCTGAACTTTGCCCCTGTAAGGGGAACTCACAGTCAGCAGAGCCGTCCTCCAAGTTACCCGAATGCGCATGCCACCTCTCCGCATGTGGTCAGAAGTCAAGAAGGACAAGAGAGATTGTTCAGGGATCAAGGGAACCAGGGCACTTCGGATCGTCATCCCCACACAGGGGTTTGGCAGCAACATCAAACCCCGTGGGAACAGAGATGAACGTGGCCGGTGCAGTCGATCCCTGAAAACGCTGTGCTGCTGAGAGACGAGAGAGAATTAGATTGGAGATTAATTCCTTCGGGACAGGAGTGGTATGGGGGTTGTAGCAGATCATACGCACAGCCGGAAGGGCACAACTTTCATATGGAACACGCACATGCTTATCCAAGGCACGACCAATGGACTAACTTCGGCCCGCCAATGAGCCACCAGGCGGTTCAGCCTCAGGAGCTCACTCTTCTGCCAGAGCACCCAAGGCCTCAGTACCCATCTAACACATATGATTGGAGGTCATTAGCCCAACCTCAACACCATCATCAGCAACAGGCAGCAGGATCAGTGGAACGATCGGGCCAGACCGGAGCGGAGGAGGGTGGTCTCACATTGGGTGGCACCCGTCATCAGGGGTTAATGAGACAGAGGAGGAGGAGTGGACAAACCTGGAGAACTTGGATGGAGGAAGAAACGAGGAGGCAGGAGAACACTAGGCCCGGAGAAGACAGACGGTACAACCAAGACAGAATTATGGGAAGATGGAGTGACGAATGTGAGGGGAGGGGTACGTCTCAGGCACCTCGAACTGAAGCGCAGATAGACACCATTCAGGGGGCACTATCCAAAACTTCACTTTCGTCCCGTTCGCGGATCCGAATGGACAACGAAGTTGAGGAGGTACCACCAAGGAGGGAACACTCCTCCTCCTCAATGGAAAGCTCTGCACACTCCAGGCCACAGGAAAAGGAAGGGCGAGGAGATACCACCAGACTCTATGTGAACCGGGACAGAAGAGCAAGCTTGATACACAGAGACCAAGCGGAAACAGTCAGACGAAGGATTGTCCCATTGGTATGCACACAAGCGAGGGATGGCGCTTACTTCTTAGCACTCTCCGATGCCGATGGTCGTCCGTACATTCCGACGGAAGAAGTGGAAGCATCTTCGACTCACAATGTTATTATGCAAAAGACGAGAAGTCTCTACGGCGAACACATTCCGATCAGAGTGATCCCCAAGTCATCAATGATCAACATCATTTGTGAAACATCTCAAGGGTACTACAAATTCTATTTTTCACTCTTGGATGCATGGATCCCACCTGAATCGGTTGAATTACTGACATAATCCGGAGTCCGCTGACACCATATGGACGCAGTAAGAGAACGTAACTCTCCGGAACTCGAACATATCTCAGTCTTCCACGAGATAAGTGCGCTCATTCTTCTCAATCTCTGTGAGAAGCTACCTACGGAAGAGGGTCTGCAGTCAGAATTTATGTACTCTATACTGACGAAAAACTAGCCCACGAAGTCACAGGTAACGTCTTCTCGAGGGAGTTCAAGGGCTTGCCTACAGTCAATTTCGATGCCGCAGGCAACGACACCAGACAAGCCAGAAGCTGCAGAGAACCCTCAAGTCGCCCAGGACACCCTCAACCGCATCCAACATCAAGCGGGCACACAGCAGCTCAATGGATAGGCTCAAGATTGCTTCTTGGAACGTTCAGGGACTGGGTGACACAGGGGGCAGGCAGAAGCGCAGACGGATTAAGAGTTGGGTCCATGAATGGAGAATCAACTGCCTGCTCGTCCAAGAATCCAAATTGGATGAAGAGAAGCTGCGGGAACTGGGGAGCTGGTGGGACGGCCCCCAGGTCTGGGCCCCTGCACAGGGCACCAGAGGAGGTGTAGGCATATTGCTACACAGGGACCTTCAGTTGAAGCTCATCGATTCGGAAGGTGACATTTGGGGAAGATGGGCTTGGGTTAGGTTGGAATTAGGGGGAGAGGAGTGGGCAATCATGACGGTCTACGCGCCGACAGAGGCAGGGGAACGAGC